GCCAGGCCAGCAAGCTACCACTTGAGCCACATCCCCAGCCCCTTAATCCTATATTATATATACTGAAATTATTATATCTCTGATATATTTGTTCAAAGCCTTACACAGCTATGTAATTTTTGTTGGAATAAACAAAACTTCAGAATAACCAGAGGATCTTCAGAGGGTATATATTCATACAGTAGAATATGTATAACCTTTGAAAATAGAATATGATAATTTGGAGTAACAACCAAGACATATCATTAAATAAAAAGAGCAAGTTTCAGAGCATTGAATTTTATCCAGGTATGACATTTTWAAAAAAAAATGTTTATAAGCAAGATGTATATAAATAATTATATTTGAGTAGGTAAGTATGTATATAGGTAGGTAGGTAGGTAGGTAGATTGGTAGACATGGAAATATTAATGCTAATGAGAAATTAATACAAAAAGTTATATATATATTCATTGAAAATTTCCCAAATTTGACTGCTTTGTCAAAAACAAAATTTTAAAAATTAAAAAAAAATTGTAAATAAGTACATGAGAAGAAAGCATTCTCTTGAAGATCTCAAATTTAAATAAAATGAAAATTAATAAACATTGCAATATTTGAAATACAAGAATTAAGCCAATTACCATCTGTTTGATCCTAAATTTTCATCTGTATTTTGGGCCTATTTTCCTGGTACAGTACTTGCATATATACCCAACTGACTTTTAAGTTATGTGTGTAAGTAATTTCCCAAATTTGTTATGAGCAACTATCAATTTCTTGTTTTTAAGCAATATTTCTTCTGCTAAATTTCCKTCTTACTAAAGATTGTCACTGTCCCTAACTGCATGGTCTTAAATGAAAAACTTACAAATGCTCCTCTCTTCCACAAAATTAATCCATTAGTAAAAACTGTAGATCCTATTTTTAAAATGTATCCTGAGATGACTTTTCATCATGAACACAAAGTTCCATGCTTCTTACCATAAACATTTCTTTCTGAACTATTGCACTATTTCTTGCATTGTAACATTTTATTGATTTTACTATTACCCACCCAGCCTCCAACCCACTGTAAAAAATTACATTTTTAAAACAGAAATACTATCAAGTAATTTGTGCTTGTTTACCCAAATTTCTTGTAAGTACATTTTTGAGACTCATCCAAAATGTTCAGAAATGATTTGAATATTCTTCATAGGTAATGTAGGTTTTAGATGTTTAAGTACTAGCAACTGATAGATAGATAACAAATAACATCTACTTTAATTGTTCTGTGTTTTCATTTGTAGTATCTAATTAGTCTAGTACCTCCATATGACAATTTTCAAAAATATTCTCCTTAAATTTACTGATTAAATTTAGCTTTCCATATAAAATGTAGAATCAACTTTTTAAATTCTCACCTGTTATTTTTGTTTTACTGATATGTTAATGGAGATAAATGTAGGAGGAATTTAGTCAATTATCTGCTTTCTGCTTCTATCTTAGAATGCCACAGACTGGGCAAATTATTAACAATAGAAGTTTAYTTRGCTGATAGTTCTGGAGGCTGGGAAGTATGAGATTGAAACTCACATCTGGTGAGGGTCTTATTGCATCATAACATGGTCAAGGAGCAAATGAGACAGGGTAAGGGGAGGCTAACACAAAGACCTACATTGGAAGGGATGTTAAAGAAAATAAATCTCCCTCCTTCCCTCCCTCCCTCCCTCCTTCCTTCCTTCCTTCCTTCCTTCCTTCCTTCCTTCCTTCCTTCCTTCCTTCCTTCCTTTCTTTCTTTCTTTCTTTCTTTCTTTCTTTCTTTCTTTCTTTCTTTCTTTCTTTCTTTCTTTCCATTGAACTCAGAGGCACTTAACCACTGAGCCACATCCCCAGCCCTGTTTTGTATTTTATTTAGAGACAGAGTCTCACTGAGTTGCTTAGCACCTCCTTTTTGGTGGCTTTGAACTCACTATTCTCCTGCCTCAGCCTCCTGAGCCACTGATATTACAGGTGTGAGCCAGGGGTACCTGGTTCTATCTTTACTTTTGGCAACTCCCTCATAAGGACATTTGAGAAAGGAAGCAAAAAGRATGCTTGTCCAGTAATATATACATTTACTCCTTTTCTGTGAAATGCAAGTACAATTGAAAATTCTGCAAATGAAAAAAAAAAATCACTCAGAAACTTATTTACCAAATAAATTGTAAAGAAATTAGAATCAAGTTTCTCTTTTCAAGGCCAGGGCTTTGAATACATCAAAGCAACTACTGCACTGCATGTCATTAGCAGTCTCAGTGATCTTTGGAAACTTGCATTAAATGGCTAAGTTTTTTCAAACTACAAGAAGAAAGACTTGAAATAATTGACCTTTAACATTTTGGTTAGCTCCAAACACCATCATATAGATTTATTCTAAGTGTAATGACTTAGGTTCATTAGGTTAATTTCCATTACTAATAACAAGCAAAGTGATTTGACATTGTTCATCTCTACTCATTCACATGTCTATATGATTATCTTAAGTGCTCTCTGAATACTTGATAAAGGATGCTTGAAATTCACAATGTTACTTTGGACTTAAGATTATCACAATGGTTTAGGGTTTTTCTTTTTATCTTACTACTTTCTTTTTCAATTTATATATGCATTTTTTTCAAAAAGATGCACATTAGCATATTCTAAAATGTGTAATTATATTAAAAATGCTTTTTATTATGTATATTATTTAAGGTATTACCAAGACAGAGGACCCAAGAAATGTGTTCAACAAAGTATAATGATTGAATACATAAATGGAGTACTGAAAAGTTATGTGTGTGTGTGTGTGTATGTGTGTGTGTGTGTGTGTGTGTGTGAGAGAGAGAGAGAGAGAGAGAGAGTGAGAGAGAGAGAGAGAGAGAGAGAGAGAGAGAAAGAAAAAGATCCAATGATTTACCTTGCCTATCTCAAGAAAATGATTATTACTTTGTTCATAGTGTTGTAGGGACAAATGAGGCAAGGCACTGAAGACAGCAGGAAACAGTTTTATTTGGCTGCAGCCAGATTCAGAGGGCACAGCTTTTGCTGTAATCAATTAATCCCCTGAACCCAAAGTTCAGGTAGTTTCAGAGTTTTATATCCAGCATGTAAGGGGAGGGGCTCAGAAGTTCACAGCCTGCAAAAGTTAACATAAAAGCAGCTTTTTCTTTCACTGTTCTGGGCATGTTAACCCTTCAAGGACAACACCTGAGAAGGGGAGAGCTTCTTCTCCCCTTTCTATTCTCCCCCTGCCAACTGTTACCATGGAGYCCAGTTGGTAACTTCTCTTATCTTAAAAGTGTAGTGATCTCTCTGAAGCCCAGCTCAAGGTCAGAGGCCTTGTTTGCACATTTCTTCAAAGTACTATACYGGATATGTTTGTGAAAAATTAGTAAGGGGTGTCCAGCACCTGGAGTGCTGGTATCTTCTYGGCCAGTGGCCAAGTAAACAGGGTGACATGAACATAGGAAATTTATCTGCATTGAACTCTTTTGCTGACAGTCCTAAACTCAGTCTGGGTGAAGGTTTCTGGAGAGGCCCAGTTAAGACTTTTCAGTGGAGAAAGGGGGGGAGGATGCCACTTTAATAGTTTTACCATAATATTCAATTAGAAAAAATTGCATTAAAAACACTAACAAAATATTTTGGATAAATTAAAATCACTGCAAAATTAATTTGTATGTGTGCTATAAAGTAAAGCCAATTTAAACATACATTAAAATCTGTATTTAATAAAATATAATAATGAATCCATGAATTGTCTTCAAGGGTAGAGATATTTTAAAATCCAAAATAATACAGCTTTTAAAAATAATCATATGGAGAACATCACACTAAGTGAAATAAGCCAAATTAAAAAAAAAATCCAGGGTTGAATTTGTGTCTCATTTATAGATGGAAGAGCAAAATAAGAAGAAAAAAAGTGGGAGAYAATTGGATATTATAAGAATATAGGGAAAAAAGAGATTTAGGGAAGAAATATGGAGTAGGAAAAGATGATCAAGAGGGTAGGAAGAGGGACAAGAAAGGGGAAGGACTAGAGAATGAATTTATCAAAATAATACTCTGTGCATGTATAAATATACCACAGAGAATTTCACTTTTTATATATCTAAAAAGCACACAAACTAAGTGAAAGAGTGAGAGGAAAATCAGTAGAGTATAGGAAGGAGAAAAGGGTGAGGGAGGAAGAAAAAAGGGATGTAACAGGGACTTAAATGTACTCAAATCTAACATACGTATGACTTTGTCAAAATGGACCCAACTATTATGTGTAAGTATAATGGTCTAATAAAAAATATAAAGAATACCGGACATTGACCTTTTGTTATATTTTAGATRAATAATTGCATTGAGTGACAGATTGAGTTTGAATGATCTATTTTAGACACACACATATATACTGTCACTTAGCATCAATAGAGTTCATATTATACTAGCTCAAATACAAATAAAGTGGCAGAACATGCATTTAAGTCTAGACCTATTTAGCACCAAAGTTCTTTCCACTTTTAATTTTTCCCAGTAAACAAAATTATACTTTGCCAAGAATGGACACTTTCTATCAGAATAATATGAAAGCACAACCCAAATACACTTTTATTAAATAATTATTTATATAAATTTAAAATAAATATGCAACTTATTTAACATATTAAAATGGAGTTCATGACTAACTGAGATTTCAACTTTTTATGTTTCAGATGTAGCTGTTCTTTGGGTTACTTTGGCAGATTCTCTATTATCAATGTTGAAAATTGCACAGGAAATCATAGTGCATCATTGCATGCCCTCTGCCTGACCCATCTGCACAACTGTAACTGTAGCTATCTACAAAGATATGAAAGAAACATCTGTGAAAGAGTAGCCGAGAATTGTAAATCTGCACACTGCAAAAATGGAGCAACAAATATTCACTTGACTTGGTATTTCTTCTGCAAGTATATCCCAGGATATACAGGCAAGTATTTCCTGAGAAATCAGTCTTTAGTGGATAATTTTGTTAATATGTTTATTTGAAGTATCWAAACTGCATCTAATGATTGATAATATTGTAGTATGATTTCTCATTTGGCAATGAAAAAATGCCTTCACTGGAATAACAGAGTTGTTCTTTGGGCAATTTCATTACTGACTACATATCCTTACTCATGCAAATTTGGCTAAGAAGGGCAGCTTGAACCATTGAGAATACGATGGCATATGTCAAAAGTCCAAAGAGCAAAACTGGCAGCCACAATCTTCTAATAACTTTGCCTGAACACGTTCAGAACTGCATTTCATCTTCCACTTTGCCTGCATCAGCACAGTGAGTGCCAGTTTTTTTCTTACTTTAAGAATAAAAATGTTATTTCAGAATTGGCAAGGTCATTTTTATGACTTGAAATTAATAYGATAAAAATAAAATAAAATCACATACATATTACATCATTTGTACAACAAAGGACAAGATTCAGAATGCTATGTGGTACGAAGGTAGCTTTTAGTATAATAAAATCAGACTCTCATTTATATAACTAGAGATTTTATTCTTAAAATGAAATGATTCTTTTCCAGCGATTGTTACATTGAAATGATAGTTTAAAATAACTTAAAAACTTTTTATTATTTTGTTTATAAAAACCATACAGAGGCTAAGCAGRAAGAAAATAATGTCACTTTTAAGCCATATCTATCTTTCAGTACACTACTAATATAATAATAAAATATTATTTCATTTTATTAAACAAACCAAATTCAAAAAGTTATTTGGATTCCATCAAAATCTGGAAAAATGTATTTTCCTATTTGATATTTAAAGTAATATGCTACAGGTTTTGGAGTCATTGGAGGCAATCTTAAAATATTTCATTCCAAAACTGAAAATAGTGATATCACTGGAATAAATGTATGGCTCTTCAGATTAACTTCTCTGAAGCTGGAAACACATTTGAGTGCACAAATTCAGGTAATTTCTCTAAAAATTGATCCCATTGCTCCATACACACACAAAAAAACTGTAAGTAAAAATAAAATGGCATAAATGTACTAACATTATTAAAGTTAGTTGCCTACATTTGAAAACATAATATATGTGTGTTTGTGTGTGTGTGTATATAATATATATATATATAGACCTTTTTAAAAATCTGAACTATCTTTCCCAAATTATAAACATCTAAAGTTAATCTACAAATGCATATGAAATATAAGAAAGAATTAGTACACACATTATCAATGAATGATTTATCATTTACTCTCTTAAGACTATATTGGTTGTACATTGTATGATCATTAAATATTTATTTGTCATATTCTATTCATATAGTTCTACTATACATACATACATATRCACACATCCAATACCACAGTATATAGTGTATGAYTGGCATGACCCACATTTCTGACTTGTTATTAAATATATGATATTTTTCTTTATTATTTAAATAAAATCCAGTATAAGCCTCATGAGGTCATATTAACAGCAAGACCTATCTTGTCTCACTTAGTTGTAAAAAATTCTGTGGGTTTCCTTAAATTAAAAATATTTAGTCTGACTTATAAAGTGTTCACATAGAGATGTGAAGGAGCTGATCTCTCTAAATTTTCCCAGGGATAGGGGAAAAGCAGAATATTTGCTGCCCCTCATCCTCTCTTCCTAGTCTCTCCCTTCTGATTCCTCCTAATTCATCAATTGTCTCTCTCTTCATAGGATTATTTTCCTCCACCTGATGTCTTCCACCTGGCTTTATCTCCATTGTATCCTCCCTGCCTTTACTCTTTTCCTTGATTGTTTCCTGCCCTGCCTTTCACTTCCTCCAATCTGGTCTCTCTCCCTCTGTATAGGAACTCATTTATTTCCTACATGAATTTGTTAACATTTTAAAAAGAGTTTTACCACACTTTGGTTACTTTTCTCTAATCTCCAACATCTTTTATGGATACTTTAGCTTTACAATTGAATTCTCTAGTTAAGTCTCTACTCTCTGTATCTGTAGCCCTGAAGAAGTCAGACATAAATGTTCACGAGAATCACCTAGAGGTCCTGATAGACCAGGGATCATCAGCCACATGGGAGTTTCTTATTCAGTAGTTGTAGAACTCAGCAAGTTTGGGGTCATGCTAATGTTGCTGGTCTGGGAGACTTTGAGAAAGCTGTTCTAATCCCATTAATGCTAATAAAGAGGACTTTTGTGTATCCAAAGATGCAAAACTCATCTTTGAATGTGCACTATCATTCACCACAGCATGTAAAATCATCTAGCCCAGTGTTCTCTGCAGGAAACCCACTAAGCCCTGGAGTAGGAAGCTAATGCCTCTACAGGGGAAAGCTATACATGTGAGTGGATTTTTTATTATTGAAATCTGATTCCAAAGCTATTATCTGAAATTTCACAAGGATTTTATACTCAGRATAATTCCAGTGGATTACATTCAAGTTACAGCCTATGTACAATTCCCATGTTATGCATCTCCATGATACTTTAGTGAAGAATTCTAAATTTGATTTTTAAGTTAATTTTTTCTTTTTAAATTTTTTTAGACTTTTTAAAAAACACTTCTCTTTTCTAAAATTCTTTGTAGTCAAATAAGAGCAGTCAGTTGGCTACATTTTTACATAGAGTAATGTTTGTTTCTGTTTCAAATATTCTGGGTTTCCTCTRTTCCTTGACTTGAATAAACATCTTCTCCTATTGGTCTTGATAAATGATTTGTCAGAAAGAGCTCTTTTGGCCAGTTAGAGGACCCAAAGTTATTTTTAGAAAATTAGACTCAGACTTTCCCTATTAAGGTGGGCCTGAGCTAAGATTCCTTGATATGGTCTGTCCTTTCCTTTTTACCTAATGTTTGTGATGCTTGTACCTTACAGCAAATTCCTTACTGCCACAGCTTTATATATTGTATATTTGACTTACAAACCTACGTGATTCTCTRTTCTTCCAGATGTCAGCTAGGAAGTTTTCTTTATAAGTCTAAGTTACCTGGGTAATACAAAATTGTTTCAATTCCAGATATCAATACTTCTTCACGGATCTATTTTATTTCCTTGTCTATTAACTTCTGTCTATAAAATTCAGTAGTGTTTCAACCAAGTTTACAGTTTAGCTGATATTCAGCTGCCATTATGCACTGTCAATTACTGTGCCTAGTTTTCACTYTTCTAATAGATTGGCTTATTTTTCAGATGCTATGCCCAGTATGAGGTGGAACAGCCATGCTCTTAGAATAGGACCCTGGTGAAATACGATATTATACATGTATTCTAAATAGCAGAGCTTACCAGAGTGCCYTAATCATTTTCAATTACACCTAAAAATGATAGAAGGAGGGCAATGAATGTTATGAGTAAATCATCCTAACCAAATAATGTACATTATATTTTCATTTTCCCCAAATCAGCCTGTAAGTCCCTGAAAATCAGGAAAAAGTGGGATACAAAGAGATTTATAGCTGCATTTATACTTCTATGTTCAGGAAAATGCAGTTTCTGTGTTTATCAGAACAGTAAATTGATTGATCACAAAACTCAAGTGATCCCATTCACTACAGAATTGGAAGACTTTATATGAGGTGTTTAAATGGACACCTGTTTCTAGGATTTAATCTCCCACACTTCCTTCCTTGCACATTCCTCTCCACTTTTAATAGAAACAGAATTAATGTAAACTTCAACATTGTCAATTCTATTCTGACCTCACAGATATTTTTAAAATATGGTTTTAGTTGTAGATAGACACAATACMTTTATTTTTAAATTATTTATTTATTTTGATGAGGATCAAACCCAGTGCCTTACACGTTTGAGGCAAGTCCTCTGCCACTGAGCCACAATCCCGGCCTTCACAGATATTTTTAACCTCAAATAAATGTATAGAGTAAACTCTTTGTGTTCTGATCATTTAGACACAAACATTCAGAAATATCAATCCTGGTGTTTTATTTGTAATTGATTTTATTTCATACCAAATATTTCTTATTTATGCCTGAGAGTAAGGGTTAGGATCTACATCTGGTGTCTATATTAATGACTTTCTCCAAATGTAACTGTGACAATATAATCCTCCATCAAACCAAAGGAGTTAGTGTTTGTTTTCACGTAGTTGCTGAGGTGATGCTGTAAATCTACTGTTCCTTTCCTGGTGTCCCCTACTCCACTTTACTCTGTCCCTCACAAAGCTGAGTGTACATCCCCCCTTTTCATGAAAATTCTATCAACCTTTAATACCTGCCCAAGGCTTTCAATACATGTAGGATTTCATCAGGCTCTGTTTCATCACCATCAATCATATTCAGCTATATTGTTTCTTGAGCCACCCAGCTAGTAYAGATCTCTGATAATGGAAGGGCAAAACTCACTACTTCAGCCTATGGTGACTGTTACTCCTCATAGGAATGAGCCTGGTCTCCCAAGAAACATAATTCTTATAGTAGAGCATGGAGATGAGTCACCAGAGACTGATATGTCCCTAGAATTCATCCCTGAATATACTGTGGTGAGCTTATTGTCAACTCCCTATCAGTTCTTCTTCATGGGAGAAAAAATTACCCAAATAAAAGATCAATACTATATTTTGTACATGTTTATATTTCCTCTTTTTTTTTCCCTTACAGATAAGTGGTGAACACTAATGTATATCAGTAAGATAGATATACATTTTCTCAGTTTYAATGGCTTCAGAGTATTTGCTTAAGTGAACCAATCAAACTTGAAATAGAGCTATTTAGTCAAAGGAAGTATGTATGTGTTTTTTTTTATTATTGTTGTTTTAGTGGTGGTGGTTGTAATTATTGTTGTTTTGGTACAATCTTATTTTTTTTGTCTTTGTTTGTGTATCCACCAACAGTATGAAAGAGTACTATACTGTTTACACATTTATTATACCAAGTATTAATCATTGTKGTTTTGAATTTTTCTAGTTTTATATGAAAAATTATTGCAAATCTTSTTTTGATTTTAATTTCTTGGGGTACTAGAAAGGGATGAGAATTTGCAATGTGAAATTCTTCTATTTGGAATAATATATATATTTTGGAGTACCAGAGATTGAACTCAGGGGTACTTAACCACTGAACCACATCCCAGACCTTCATGGCATTTTGTTATTGGTGGTGGTGGTTTTGGTTGTTGTTGTTGTAGTTTTGTTTTTTGTTTTGTTTTGTTTTTTGGGTTTTTTTTTTTGAGACAGGGTCTCGCTAAGTTGCTGAGTCTGGCTTTGGACTTGTGATCATCCTGCTTCAGCCTCCCAAGTGGCTGGGATTAAGGCTTTTGCCAACAGGACCAAATAGTGTTATGGAAGTATTTCTTTTTCCACAAAGAAATATGCCTTATTTAATGATTATATTTCTTGAAATACTGGATTTTTCATACTTATTTTATATTTCCTCTTTTTTACTTACACATAATTGGTGAACATTACTGTRTATCATTAAGACATATAATTCTTTTTAAGTTAAAAACCAAAATCTACTTATTTAAGAGATAATCATATCTTCTGCCAATAAAGGTAATATTCATTTATTTTTCCTATTTCCTTAGTTGGTGTTGTGGTTTGGATGTAAAGTATCCCAGAAAACCTTATGTGAGATAATGCAAGAAGTTTCAGAGAAGAAATAATTGGGTCACAAAAGCCTTAACCCAATCAGTGAATTAATCACCTGATGGGATTAACAGAGTGGTAATGGAAGGAAGGTGGGGTATGGAAGGAGGACATGGGGCATTGGGGATATGGCTTTGGGGTGTATATTGGTATCTCGTGATCAGTGTCTCTCTGATTCCTATTGATCGTGTAAGCCCCATCCTTCAACCACATTCTTCAACACTGATATTCAGCTTCACCTCTAGCCCCAAGGAATAGAGCCATCCTTCTGTGGACTATGACCTCTGAAATCATGAGCCCTRAATAAACCTTTCCTCCTTTAGAGTTGTTCTGATTGGGTGCTTTAATCACACCATCGGAAAAAGCTAAC